ACGACTATCTGCCTTCCCTCTAGTCTTACACTGCTAAATTAGGGACGGCTAGCGCAGGTAGCCCTCGTGTAGCTTTGCGCGAAATTCAAAACAAACAAACATAATAAATATAAAACACCTATTTTAAAAGTTATTTCACATTGAATATTACTGGTTCATTTTTTCATGAAATAATTTAAAAACTAATAGTATAGCAATAATATATACAGAAACGACATGTAATAAAACCTTTGACTGCGGATAGAACGGTCCAAGGTTGTGCCACTAAAAACAAACTCCGCACTTTGAGATGAAGTGACAGTAAATCCCGTTAGTCTGGTAAAAGAGCAAGTGTTCGAATGTTTGCCTTCCTGATTTACACAGATTTTATAGCTTTGGAAAACAGAGCGTCAGATTTCTTACACAATCTTGAATCGAGAAACGCAAATTTCTCTTGAATGCCAATTTTCGATGCGTTAATATCTGCGCGTTTGCGTGAATAAGCTCTTTTTTATATTACTCACCACACTGCAAAATACGTGAGCTGAAACACCCTTTTCTTATGGCCCACCCTGTACATTATTTAAACTAAATATTATAAGCTCATATGCATGCAATAACTACGTAATTAAAACCGTGTCACCAGCAACGGTAATGACACTTAAGTGCACGCAATGAAGTCATACGTCTTTGTGTAGACAGACAAATATTTGTAATAAAATTCTTTTAGCACTTACCATCCACAACTACGCACTGCTTCGAAGTTATTAAATATCACTCGTTATAGCAGCTTAATAGTGCCCATGTAGTACTTTTAATAACGAACATTGATTACCAGGAGAAAGAACCTTGAAAGATTCTTTAGGAATGAGTCCGAACATGATTTTACAATTGCGGAAATATAAGTTTGTTTTCATCAACTCAATATATATATATTTCTTTAGTGGGACAACAGTAAGTTTACGAATTTTCAACACTAAAATTCGGGGTTCGATTCCCTGCGGCGAACACAGCAGACAGCTCAGAGTGGCTTTGATCTAAAACAAACAGGTATACATATATCAATCTTTATAATAATAATAAGCAAAATATTTAAACACCTTTGTCAGAAACAATGAAAGTATGCTCTCTAAAAAACAGTCTTTTTACCTGAAAAGTCCAGAACAGGACTAGGAACCTTTGGCTAATATGGCAATTGCTTTACCAACTGAGCTACCTAAGAGTACAAACCGCCTCTCCTCCCCATCTTCCTTCACCACTAAAATTTTTAAACCTTATTATGAACCTCATATTAAATTCTGTTGTTGATTTAAAAAGCTGACATTAAATAATATATTCTTAGTTTAAATATTAAACGTTAAGACAGAAACTCTAATTATATAGAGCTAAAGAAATTGAGTTTAAATCGGTATTTCTATGCATTTCAAAACAACAGATCACATAAAAAAAAACATTGAGCTTCCGTTACCTTCCTCTTCAGGATCAACAATAATTATTTCAAGTGCCTCTTTTTTATCTCAAGCTCGGTTTTCAAGTAACTCCTGTCTTCGAATGATATTATATACTAATGAACAATATAACAAAATAACTTGATTTGGTTACAACAGCGAAGTATTCTTTTCATATTCTCCATGTGATCTTCATATAACTGGTCACAGGAGTAAATATTGTTCTCATTAAAACATTCGACAATGTAGAACTAAATATATAAATAATTAATAAATTAATTAATAATTAATACTTTAAAAACTTTACTTCTTATAGACATATTTCTACGTTTTGTGCATTTTTATTTTGACCTGTACAGTAAATGACACATTTTTGTCATTTAGTTGTGTTGTTAATTATATATATATAGGTGAAATATTTATCTTATAACGGAACTGAGTATGAATTTTTAATTTCAAGAATAGTTCATCTTACATTAAAAAACGTATTTAGTACAATTGTTAAATTGCTATCGTCGTTGTACAGCATACTATTTTGTGTAAAGTTTGATATGAATTACTTTTTACATAAAATAGTAACGTTTTAGGCCAAAATCTAGAGTTATTGCAATAGTTTAACTTCCAAAAGCTGTTTTTTTCCTTCTCCTTTCGGATTGGTTGTGTAGTCTATACACAACACATACATATAACCTGTTTCACTTGTCTATCTCTTTACAGAGGGTTGAGTACGTTACATTAAAACTATTTTGAACATGCATGTCAGCAAGTCACGGTGAAACAGAATGTATCAGAACTACATTTTGACATTGTTTAGTGTTTAGTGGGTAGTATGATGCTTTGGGGAAGGGTATTCAGTAAATCTTTCTGACGTAAAATATTCATACATTTAGATCATAAAGATGTGATCAGAAAGGGGGTTTAGAAATTCCATGATGAGAATATTCTTTCAATTAATGACACTGGAAAACAAAGGAATATGAATCAACTTAAGACTCCAGGATTGTCCAGAGAGAGATCTGCAACAATCTTTTATTAGCTGTTGTAAGTAAAGTGAGTTTTTTTTGTAACAAGTGAAAATCCACGAATACAAAAGTCAAGGCCAAAAGTCGTCTATGTGCCCCAGACAACAGATACTACATAATCAAGAAGCATCAACATCTACAAAAGTGACACAAGTCACGAGTACACAACTTACTTCCATAACATATCACAAGTCACGAGTACACAACTTACTTCCATAACATATCACAAGTCACGAGTACACAACTTACTTCCATAACATATCACAAGTCACGAGTACACAACTTACTTCCATAACATATCACAAGTCACGAGTGCACAACTTACTTCCATAACATATCACAAGTCACGAGTACACAACTTACTTCCATAACATATCCATTCAACCGTCACGTATCTCAGTAGTTGGGAGGCCCGGCACAGCCAGGTGGTTAGGAAGCTTGACTCCCAATCTGCGGCTCGCGAGTTCGAATCCCCGTTCCACCACATATGTTCGTCCTTTCAGCCATGGGGGCGTTATAAGTGACGGTCAGTCCCACTATTCTTTGGTAAAAGAGTAGCCCAAGAGTTGGTAGTGTGTGGTGATGACTAGCTGCCTTCCCTCTAGTCTTACACTGCTACATTATGGACGGCTAGCGCAGATAGCCCTCTTGTAGCTTTGCGCGAAATTCAAACCAAACAAACAGTAGTTGAAAATACAAACGGCCATTCATAATTTCGATATAAAGACATACCAGTCAATTTTCCGGATGCAACGCTCATGGATTTCTGTGCGATTGAACTATTGAAACGGCCACTGAGAAACCGTCACCTTCGTGCATTAGATGGATTATGAAAATCATGCAAAGAAGAGTGGTGTAATTTGAACATGAAACCTTACGACGGTAGTGTGATGTTACCGAAAATTAATGGATGCAGGGCTACTGAAAAAATACACTGTCGTCAGATGGACTGTGAAAATGTGGTGAGGCTTAAAAAATCGTGTAATCAAAGTACTCAATCCTTTATTAGTTAACATCCTGATGGAAACTGTGTGAGTTCTTAGCAAAAAGAAAATAGTATTAACATACATACGTATATTTTACATAACCTTTGCAACTTATGGAATATAACAAATAATGTATTAAAAAGTTTGGATAATTTCAATATTGGGAGAATGTGGACGATATGATTTATATGTTTTCTAAATTAACGTTGTATTTTCAAGGAATGGGTAAAATATACTTACACTGTAATCTAGTTTCATGATGAAAAATGCATTGAAGTATGATTAACAAATGCTAATGAATTATTCCAACTTTATAATTTTGATAGTTTTTAATTAATATACAAATCGCTATGCAACTACAGTATTATTATGTCTTTTTAATGGGTTTTCTGAAGTAGCCTTTATGAATAACCTAATATGGAAGATATTAAATATTAGTCATATAACAGCTGTTAACATACGTATGTACATAGCAACAACTACCACACTCGCATACCAATAGTTACTAATCATATACCAACAATTAACACATGTATACCAACGTTAACAAATCAATAACATCAATTCATTACCAAACCCGTCCTTATAGTAAACAGCTATAGTGAATATATTTTAAGGTATGCTTTTGTTTTGTTTGAAGTCAAGTACAAAACTACACAATGGTCTATCTGTGCTCTGCCCACCACGGGTATCGAAAACCGGTTTCTAGCGTTGTACGTCCGCAGCATTTTTCAACAGTTAACACTTAGTATATCAACTTGTACCGTATATATACACTAACAGTTACCAGTTATAAACCGTATGTTCTGATGTGTGTCGTTCGTGTTCCAAAACTGACTAGGTGCGAACCGTTAATTACCAGTCAGTACCAATAACTGACGCACCTAATATTTGGTATATATTACGTGTTTGAATTCAAATTATATGTCATTTTAAGATCAATGTCCTTGGTGGGACAGCGATAAATTTATGGACTTACCGATAAAATCCGGAGTTCGAGTCTTCGTGGTGGACACAGCAAATAGCCTAATATAGCGTTGCTCTAAAGCAAACAGCAGCTAAGATCAATAGATCACTGTCCCTGGTGGGACAACGATAAATTTATGGACTTATCAATAAAATCCGGAGTTCGAGGTGGACACAGCAAATAGCCTAATATAGCATTGCTCTAAACCAAACAGCAGCTAAGATCAATAGATCACTGTCCCTGGTGGGACAACGATAAATTTATGGACTTATCAATAAAATCCGGGGTTCGATTCTTCATGGTGGGCACAGCAAATAGCCTAATATAGCGTTACTTTAAAGCAAACAGCAGCTAAGATCAACAGATCAATGTCCCTGGTGAGACATTAAATAACTGAACTACGTAATTATTTTATCGAATAAGACGTCATTAAACTACGAGTGTGTATCTTATCGATATGGTTATGGCAGATGTATATATCCAATAAGAAATTAACGAATCTACACAAATTGTGATATAAGGATTCGTGTGAAGAGACGGATGAATAGATATCACCGGTTGGGCACGAAAATAATGAAAGTATTTTCCAGCATTGAAATATAATAATTTTAGAGAAAAAAGGTATTTTTTGTTGTTGTTGCTTTTGTTATCTTTAATTTCGTACAATGTTACTCGAGAGAACCAGCTGCGTAGCTGCCCCTTATTTAGAGCTCACAGACTAAATGTAAGGCAACTAGTGTACAACACCCACCGCCAACTCTTGGGCTAATCTAATCGAATAGTGTAATTTGATCATCACTGTTGCAACGAACCCACGGCCCCTAAGTGCGGAGTATATATATATATATATTTTGCGACAAGGAGCACGAACCACAGAAACTCGGATCAGTAGCCCGGCAAGTAGAAATAGTAGACAGTTAGTTATTGTTCATAGACAAGTGTTGAGAACAACATCGTATAAATTATCGTGAAAATCTTAATACACGTAGATTATCAGTAACAGTATTTTCAATCTAAATGACTTTTTCTGCGATATATGGGCTAAACGACCAGATTAAGCTCAGAAACTATTAGGCTTCAGGCATAGCCATTCTTCATTTAAAACTGTTGACCCAATGGAGGATAATCAGTCAGCAGCACGTGCCGCTTATGCAACTAGTTTTAATCAAATAGCAGGATTGACTGTTACGCCTGTGACGCTCCCATACCCGAAAGTGCGGAAAATGTGCAGTGACATATTGCTGCTCGAACCTTGGGCTTTCTGGTCGATAACAGCACATTATTCCAAAAAGAAAGTGAGATATCAGTGAAAGAGTATAGATACTAAGTACTGTTCATCATAGCTGTGTTTGTTTGTTTGTTAGAAGTTAAGCACAAAGCTACACAATGGGCTACCTGTTCTCTGTCCACCACGTTTCTAGCGTTGTAATTTCGCAGATATACCGCTGTGCCACTAGGGGGCATCAAAGCTGTGATGTGATGAATGAGCGTGAATTATTATTACTTTCCTAATCAGTTAACGAAACTTTTAGCTAAAAATCCATTATGTAAAAAAAAAAAGTGAATAATATATTATAGCCTGAATGATTCACATGGCAAGTTAAAATTTGACAAAACACGTTACTGGAATAAAGACCTACAAAATAAAACACTGGTTGGAAAAACAAAAATGACAAAGGGGGAACCATCATCAGTCAACATAATGACAACCATTTTGTATGTGTAAATAAAACCAGGAAAAGCATTAACCGATCGCTTAACAAGATTCAAGTTAGGCTATTTTTTGTTTATTTTCTGAAAGCACATGTCATCGAGAGAAACGAAACTGTCAATACACCCAAATAAAAGGCCCAACACTGGAGTTCTTTGAACAAAAGAAATGATTTTCGTGTAACGGAAGAAGAAAAATGTGTAAGTAGGCTTGTCCTCTTTTATTTAAGAAGAAAAAGAAAAGAAGACGGTGAAAAGCCGAGTTGTTTTGAAGTTCGCATGAATGGCTAAAGAAGAACCTTTCTCTGTTTTTTTTTTTTTTTTTTGGTTTTATGCGCCATTGAAACTTCAAGTGACTTGGTGTGCGTCTTTCATTGGCTTTTTATTAAGCTCACTTATACTGCATTTCAGTTAATAGCTTTTGTGCACTTTATCTCGGACTTATTGCTCCAAATACACTCTATTTGTTCTTCACTGCGTATCAGAAAGCACAGAGAGGTGGAAATAGATGTTGTTCGGGCTGACTGGTTAGGACATCGATGTATTCGAGCTGACTGGTTAGGACATCGATGTATTCGGGCTGACTGGTTAGGACATCGATGTATTCGGGCTGACTGGTTAGGACATCGATGTATTCGGGCTGAATGGTTAGGACATCGATGTATTCGAGCTGACTGGTTAGGACATCGATGTATTCGA